ACAAAAAAAAAAATTCGTAAAAGAAAACACTAATGATATATATATATATATATATATATATATATATATATATTTTTCTATGGTTTTTTTCTTCCTGAAATATTAAATAAAATAGATGCATATTATCATTCATTCTTCATTTTTTTTTTTTTATAATATTTATATATGTGCGTGTGTATGTGTGCATGTAGGAGAACTTCGTTACCGGTCTGACAAGCGTCCGTGAAAAGAAAATTGGTTTATATATTTACGTACGTGTTTGTAGGTGTATATATATATATATATATATATATATATATATACATATTTATAATACGTATCGTATCGATTATTCGCACGATAAATCGAGTGTCAGTTGATCTTACATACTCGGGTATACACAGTTTAGAAATGTCGAATATTCCAAGCGGCGACCCGTAACACGTATATATTTCGCGTTCTAATTGGTTGGAATTCATAAAAATGTAAATGTTCGTTCGCTCGTAAATCGTCGTGGAACATTTTAACGCGGAACCGTGGTCCGGTGATACTCTTTCCTTTTGCCATTATTCAACGAGTTTAAAAGCTAAGTGATTTATAACGGTGGCAACGTGCACGTATGCATTTTGTTGTGTATATGTACGCGCGTGTGTATGTGTATGTGTGTGTAACAAGAACACAACAAACCAGTTATTAATTTCTATAATTCTATATCGATTTGGCACCATCGATAAGTATATGTAATAATATATTACATATTTATTTCCAATATGTTTCTTCCTGCACACACATGTACTATCATCTCACTAATACCTATAATATCTATTTACGTATACATAAATATGTGTTTTATGCAAAGTATTCAAGATTTACAACGTCGTCGTTTATCGATTACCTATTTGATGCTTTGCTCGATCTTATGTCCGTAGTAAATCGAAAAGTATGCTTACCGCTTTTCCCAATGACTTAATAAAATTTTATATAAGTATGATCGATATATAGATGCTTCGATATATGTGTATGTACGTTGTACATAAGTCGAATCCAAACGCACAAGTAGTAAGTAGCATTGAAACGCCAATGAAGAGTCCTTTTCATCGTACGTCTTTATAGCGTATATATCACTCCTTATGTAGTATGTCCATAATACATAGTCGTAACGCGAGATGTGCCTTTTGTTCGAAAGTAGAAACGAAGTATCCATGACGGACATTGAATTTATGTTTATACCGTTCGATCGTTCCATCGATAATAACATATATAATATACATACATATCATACATACATATATATATATATCAATGGTTTCGATATAACTCTGTGTAAAAAAGAATATGACAAAAAAGAAATATGAAAAAGAGACTTTATCATTTTTATCTTGTCTATCATGTTCTCCATGATATTCAATAACAATATATATATAAAATGCATACGCATGTATGGATTAGTAAAATGGAGAAAATATTGGCACGATTTAAACGAACTCCGGTAAACTTCATAACGTTAATACGATTTATTATTTATAATTGATTTAAATTTTCCAACGTCATATTCAAATCCATTTTAACGATAAATTCGTCATTACGATCGACGTCAATTTCGTTTTCATATTATCGCCTAACGAAATAACTTTGAAATTCAATTGCGAAACGTAACAAAAGCGACTTTGCCGAGGGGTTAAGAGAGACATAGAGAGAGAGAGAGAGAGAGAGATATATATATATATATATAGAGAGAGAGAGAGAGATGAAAATATAATGCATAATACAAATTGACAAGTGAACGAGATAATAATGTTTTCTATGAATAATACTATCGGCCACGTATCTATCACGTATTTTTTTCTTTTCCGTTGGAAAAACCTAATCGTTTTGTCGGTATTCACCAATGATTTATGAGTGCTCCCGAAGTCCCGGAAGCCAAATTGTTTTCACGTTGTTATTCGGGAAAGGGTCGAGAGTTATGCAGCCCTTTGAATATTTTCGAAGTTGGAAACGTGTAACGGTGAGCGATGAATATTCGTTCAACTAACGTCAGAGAATATATATAGAGAAGAATCCTTGTACTCGATGCTCCTGGCCTTATGGTTTCCGTGACACGTGACACCACCACCATAGAGTACGCGTAGGTATCCCTTGTCACGGCGTTATCTATCCTTAGATACCGTTACATTCGCGGCAAGGTGCGAAAGTAACTTCTGAGTGTCGTCTTATACATAACTGCTCTATACATGTTTATATATATATATGTGTGTGTGTGTGTATGTGTGCGTGTATCCTCGTACATAGTCATGATATATACACAATATACCTACACACATAATAATGATGATGATACGGTTGGTCTGCGGTACGTTGTCGTTGCTGTCACGTAAATATTTTTTCTGCACCTCTCGAAAGACATAGATACACACAGATAAATAGATAGATAGAAAAAGAAAGAGAGAGAGAGAGAGAGAGAGAGAGAGAGAGAGAGAGAGATCCGTTGCTGTTGCGGATCGCCACGAAAGAAGAAGCCCCGTTGCGGATTATGCCACGTCACGTATCAACGTAAAATCATCTCTATTTCTCGAGAGAAATAGAGAAAGAAAGAGAGAGAGAAAGAGAGAGAGGAGGGGATAAGGGACAGAGAAAAAAACAACTTAATTACATGATCGAAACCGAAGATGCGAGAATCAAGACGCGTTCGTTTGCTTCAACTTTTTAGAGTTAATAAAACTCGTTCAGAATGGAGACTCGAGTGTACGATCATCTTTGATAAAATGAATATTGGATAGACTCATTCTTGTAACCATGTATAGATCATACTTGATAATTACTAAACGGATATGTAATATATATATATATATATATATATATATATATATATATATATATGTATATGTATGTACAAATTTGATATTTAAAAAGTAACAAAATATATTTGAGAAAATTTAAAAAAAAAAAGTACTATTCGAATGAAACGATTACATATATTTACATGCGTAGTAAATTCCTATAGAAGATAAAAAGATTAAAAATTAAAATCAAAAAGATTAAAAATATTGGAAAATTTAAATAAAATTATTTTCCCGTGTCGTATGATCCTTGCATAATGAAACGTTTACATATATGTACCATCTATCTGTATATATATATATATATTAATTATATAATATTATAATATATATTAAGATTAAGGGACGTTCGAAAATTTGAAAACCATGTTCTTAGAGTTACTCTCATATTATACGATGATCATCATCGTATTTAATCTTAGAATCAAAGTGATCAAACGCCCGTGTAGCAAAACGCTTCTCCGCTTTCTAACGTTTGCTCTACTTGTCCCTACTCGTACTATTATTGCGCAGTCTCACTTATATTCCCTTTCTCACTCTTCACCCGTTTCCTTTCCTCTTTGTCATGCTACTACCCACGCGATTCACAGACTGTTATTCGTTCAAAGGTAGCAAATGTGGAATGGAAGGAGAGGACGTTTCTCGAGCGTAAGAACGACTGATGATGAAAATAAAAAAAAAAAAAAAGAAAAGAAAAAGAAATAAATAAATAAATAAAAAATTAAAAATTAAAAATTAAAGAAAGGAAAAGATGAAAAAAAAAAAGAAAAAAGATATACAGAAAGTTAGCGTAAAACCAAGCAAAATTGCACTTTGTCCCGTCAATGGCGAAGGCGCCATTCTGTCGGTGATGTCTCTTTTCATATGTATTAAGTACGTATATTCATGTACGTGTGTATGTGTGTGTGTGTGTATGTGTGTGCAATATACACGTATTTATACATCGAAATAATCGAACGAGATAAACGAAGAGATATGCTTACGAATAACTGCACTATGATATCTGTATCTTTCTCTGTCTCTGTCTCTGTCTCTGCCTCTGTTGCTCTCTTTATCTCTTTCATGACGCGTGAACTGTTTCAGTACTCGAATCAGAGATTATTCAACGGATAGGTAGATACATATACACATATATACATACATACATACATACATACATACATTTGAAAATGGAACAATACAAGAAACACAAGAAGCATTCGCACATAGCTCTACAAAATACGTTGCAGTGAAAATCGATTTCGCATCCCCCAAATGCATTTCCCTCTTTTCTTCCCTCCACTTCAATTGCTTCCGCATACGCGTGCGTCATCGTATATATCTACTTACGTGTATATATATATATATATATGTATATATATATATATGTATATATATATATATGTATATATATATATGCGTGTATTTATATATGTATTTATACAACTATCTCTATTTCTCGTTGTTGGTCGACCCTTTCGAATTGGCAATTTTCACTAACGGATTCTACGTGAGATCGAATCACTTTCATTTAACTCTGTTTAATACGTTCGTTATACGATACGATGTATGATGCGGACAAACAATGGAATACGATATTATATATATATATCTAAAAAATTTCACGGAATGTGTTTACTTTTTTATCAAAGATATATATGTATATATATATATATATATATATATATATATATATATATATAAGAAAATAAATAAAAGGAAAATAAAAGAGAAATCGAATTATGTTAGTACAATAATATTATAAATAATAAACATTATTATTATGATGATAAGAGTGATCAATCGGACGAGTATGCGTTATCATTTCGACTAACTTACGCTAATACAGTTGAGAAAAGATTTGAAGTGTATTTATGTTATTTATAATTGGAAAAAGAAAGAAAAAAAAAAGAAAAAAGAGAAACATGCAAAAATTTTAATATATCTGAGTTTTGCTTAAGGAACAACGTAGCGACCGTAAAGTTTGATCTGTCGGTGCAACGAAGCTTTCAATATATATTTTCAGAACGATACTTCTCGACATTCAACATCGCCAAGTCTACGGCCATCTTTATTTCTCTTCTAACGATACTCCACGAAAATGCTTGTACACGTATTTTACGTAGATATATATATATATATATATATATATATATATATACACGTATATGTACTATCTATATATAAGTGTAAGTCTGTACTTACGACAGCATCGTTACGATGCTTCTTGGAACCACCACGTAAATTTACTAAAGAGCCGTGGGAACGTCGAACTCTCCTCGACTACGTCGATGGATGGAATGGAAAAGACGAAAGTCGCTAATGATACAACCTCATCGCATCTTCCAATCGATCGAATAGTAGGGGATATACTCTCTCTCTCTCTCCCTCTCTCTCTCTCTCTTTCTAGCTTCTTCCAATGTAAACATTACTACCTACGTAATATACGTGTCCTTATATGTATATGTATATCTCTCACGTTTGTTTAGCAATTTTACACGTTTCAGTGTCGTTCTAGACGTCGTCGAAGTCGTTCGCATCTAATCATAACTTCTAAACTCTCTAATATTTCGTATCGAATAATTTCGTAACATTTTATCTTCGTAATACATAGAAAAATATCATTTAAATTAGAATTCATAAAAATCTTCGTAAATCTTCTTTTTTCTTTCTTTCTTTCTTTCTTTCTTTTCTTTTTTTTTTTTTTTTTTTTTCTTTTTACAGGAGAAACTCCAAAGTAATTTTAAAGAGAAAAGAGAAAAAAAGTAGAAAAATTAATTTTTCCTGTCTCACGTCACGAGAATTCCACGTTGCGTTTATGCGATCCGAAGATTTACGACGGTTCGTTCACGTTCGTATAAGAAACATAAGACGAGGAGACGATCCGAGGAAGCATGGTGCAACTGTAAGAAATAAAGAAAATTACCTTCATTCATCATATCTAGAAATTCCCTAGCCAAACGATTAGAGAACAAAGGAGCAAAGTCCATTTGGCTGCTCCGTGATACCTACGAGAAAGTTAACGGCATCGAGTTGCCACCAAAATTGGCTGACCCTTGCAATTCGCGGTTGTTGGCCAACTTTCTTTGTCCTCCAACC